TTGTTTTATTTTCCTTTTTTTTGTTTAAATTTATCTTTATTGTTGAAAATATTACAGATGTCCCCTTTCTTTTTTTCCCCCTTGACCCCTCTTCTCCCCACTCCCATCCCCTCCCAGGCCTTCACCCCACTATTGTCTGTGTCCATGGGTTATGAGTATATGCATATAAGTTCTTTGGTTGATCTCTTCCCTCACACATTTAGTATATGTTCTAACAATAAACCCAATAGCAACTCAAGGTCAAGAATACATGTGATGGCTGAGATCAAGTATAGACAAAATAAGGTGGGACCAAAGTAGGATTCCATAGTTCCTGCTAGAGCAATTCTTCTTTTCCCTAGCTATCATTCATTCTTTCCTTCAACAAACACTTACTGAGCACCAGGCACTGAGCTAGACAAACTGACCTGCTCCATGGATCTGACCTTAAGCCTATCTCTAGTCTTTCATAGATTTCCTTCTCCCTGTTTGCCTTCCTTGCCAGTATCCTTTCCCTAGTCCCAATTCTGCCCTTCACTCTATTCCCAAGCCTTTCTCGCCCGGCAGCATAATCACTACCTCCTGTGTTCTTTTAGACTTGGTCCCCACAAGTGAATGACACACTGTGCGGAAATAAAATGCATCTTATGTAGATCCTCTCAAATAACATTTCTTTAATCTTATACAGAAAATCCACTTAAGCAAAATATTATTTACAAAGACTGATTAGCTGAAAAACACCAAAGGGGGCTAGACAGTCTCTCCCCCAGATTTATATGCTAATTTATTTGGACTAGAGTTTGCTATGTTTCTTGGCAACCTGAACAAATATTAACTACATTTTACAAATACATTTATGTTCTATAGACAGAAATGACACTATGATAGCACAATAATAGTTTTTATTTGCCCCATTTCTGCTAAACTATCTACCACATCCATATTATGGAAGGAATGGAAATTAGCCATGTGATTTCCTATACATATTCACATTTTCAAGTACTAATCTTGTTTCCCTAAACACACACCACTTCCCTGATTAAAAAAACAAAAGAAAAGAAATAAGAGATACAACTTCTAATGTCCTCACAATGTCTAGAGCTACAGTATCAAAAATACTGGTAGCCTTAGACACATGTGGGTATTTAAATTTAAACTGATTAAAGTTAAATTAGAATTTTAATTTCCCAATTGCACTAGACACATGTTAAGACCTCAATAGCCACACATGGCTAACAGTTATTGTATTAGACACTGCAGATACAAAACATTTCCATCATTGCAAAAAGTTCCATTAAACAGCTCTGGTCTAGACCCGTGGTCGGCAAACTGCGGCTCGCAAGCCACATGCGGCTCTTTGGCCCCTTGAGTGTGGCTCTTCCTAAGCCTTAGGAGTACCCTAATTAAGTTAATAACAATGTACCTACCTATATAGTTTAAGTTTAAAAAATTTGGCTCTCAAAAGAAATTTCAATCGTTGTACTGTTGATATTTGGCTCTGTTGACTAATGAGTTTGCTGACCACTGGAGACAATAACTGCTTTAGAGAAAGAATATGGTACATTAGAGAAAGAAAGAACATTGGAGTCAGAATGCTTCATCCAAATTCAGGTATTAATTTAGTTATAAGGGATAGAAATTCAACTCAACTACTTTGACTTGAAAGGAAATTAGTTGGCTCAACTGGCTCACAGAATGCAGGAAAGGGCTAGGAAACCATAAAAAAGAACAAGTCACTGGCCCGCTGGTGTGGCTCAGTGGACTGAGCATCGTCCCATGCACCAAGAGGTAACTGGTTCGATTCCTGGGCAGGTAACATGCCAGGGCTGCAGGCTTGATCCTCAGTAGGGGGCCTGCAGGGAGCAGCTGATCGATGTTTCTATCTTTCTCTCCTTCTCCCTTCCTTTCTCTCTAAAATCAAAAAAAAATATGCTTAAAAAAAAAAAAAAAGAACCAGTCAGAAATAAAGAATACACTAACTGAAATGAAGAATGCATTACAAGGAATCAACAGTAGAACAGATGAAGCCTAAAATCAAATCAGCGATTTGGAATATAAGGAAGCAAAAAAAAAAATACCCAATCAGAACAGCAAAAAGAAAAAAGAATTAAAAAAAAAATGAGGATAAGGTAAGGAGCCTCTGGGACAAAATCAAGTGTACCAACATTCACATCATGGGGTGCCAGAAGGAGAAGAGAGAGAATAAGAAATTGAAAACCTATTTGAAAGAATAATGACAGAAAATTTCCCTAACCTGGTAAAGGTAATAGATATACAAGTCCAGGAAGCTCAGAGTCCCAAACAAGATGAACCCAAAGAGGCCCACACCAAGACACATCATAACTACAAATCCAAAAGGTTAAAGACAAAGAGAGAATCTTAGAAACAGCAAGAAAAAAGCAGTTAGTCTCCTACAAGGGAGCTCCCATAAGACGGTCAGCTGATTTCTCAACACAAACTTTGCAGGCCAGAAGGGATTGGCAAGAAATATTCAAAGTGATAAAAAGCAAGGTTATTCTATCCAACAAAGTTATCATTTAGAATCAAAGAACATATAAAGAGCTTTCCAGACAAGAAAAAAAAAACACAATAAAAATATGAATAAAACTGCAATACATATCTATCAATAATTGAATCTAATTAATAAAATAAATGAACAAGCAGAACTGAAAGACTCCTAGAGAACATTTTGACAGTTACCAGATGGGAGGGTGGTTGGGGGGATGGGTGAAAAGTTAAAGGGATTAAGAAGTACAAATTGGTAGCTGCAGAATAGTCATGGGGATGTAAAGTACAGCATAGGGGATACAGTCAATATTCTAATAGCATATGTATAGGGTCAGAGGGGTATGAGATTTATCAGGATGATCACTTAGTAAGTTATATAATGTCTAGTCACTGGGGTGTACATCTGAAACTAATATAATATTGTGTCAACTGTAACCAAAATTTAAAAACAAGAAAGGGTTAGATAACTAAAGTAGGAGGGTCAGGGATGCAGCTAGGTCTCAGGAACTCTAAGGTTGACAGGACTGTGTCTGTCTGTTGCCTCTGAGTTTCTCTCATATCAGCATCATTCTCTCTCACTATAATTCAGCATTCTTCACATAGTGGAAAACATGGCCATTGGTGTGTCATTAGTTTTATGTCTTACAGATTTCATTGATCTTCTCTCTTATCCTAGGCCTTAAAATACCAGGAAG